AACATGATGCTCTCCTATCCTTTGTGACAGTGTGGAAAAAAAGTTACGATCTCATTTGAGGAGAATTTGTGTCTTGGGCCAGTGCTAATTATTTTTCATTCTTGTCAGGAAAGGTAGAAAAATCTGTGAATAAAATTGATCTCCCTCCTTTATTTATTGTTTCAGTCTTGTAGAATTGTGGCACTTTCATAGCAGCTTCAAACATACTTCAGATCAAAGCCATGTTAGACATGCTATGATATCACAAACAAAAGCCTCTGTTGATAACAAATTATTACAAGTTTCCCGAAGTCCTGCTGGTACAGCAGCTGTTGATACAAATTAAAATCAATCTATGATGAATTATTTTGAATTTGCAAATAGGTTTTTCAGTAGCTGAAATGCCCATTGACTCCTAAAATTCATGTGAGGTGGAGGAAGTGTGACATCTCACTTACCTCAGCTGTGGCCCAGGAGAGCTACCAAACTGAGCAGCGAGTCTGGTTTCATTCTAGTTAAAGCCAAGTAGATTCAAGAAAACTGCAGAGAGCAGGGGGGAAAAACCCACAGCCAACTATCTGTGCTCTTTGTTGACGTAGGCATACCACATACCTACAACGCAGGCTGAATCCTTTTCCCTCAAATAACTGAATTCACAAAACTATCTGCGAGGACTTGTTCTCTGAACACCTGAAAAACCTTCTGCTAACAGTTTTATTAACTCCTGTGTCCTGCTTTTGAATGCCTGTCTATGAGACCCCTATGACTCTGTGACTGTCTCTTGGCTATGTGACTGTAAGAACGCTGCCTGCAAGCTCTTGCTGAAGGAGCCTTCATTCATACTCTCTTAAAAGATTGCATTGTAACTCTCATACTGAGCACTTGTGAGATTAGGCCTTTTCCACGGTGGACCATTGCCTGGCCAAAACCGGGTGAGGGTGTATGATGCTGGTGGCATTTATGCCCTAGGGAAGTTTTGGAAGACACGATACTCAGTGGTTAAGGCCAGGTCGTCATCCCTGAAGCAAACCTAAACTTAACCAGATGACCAGCTGGCTGCTTGTACTCAGATGCTGGCAACTAGAGAACAGGGTAGAAAAAAAAAAAAACAACTAAGACTCCAAAAAAATAATGACACCACAAAAGGTGGGATGAAACCCCCAATTTCCCAGCTGGCAAGCAGAAGTGAAAAGGGCTGCTTATTACAGAAGAATAAGGCAGCTTCTGAGAATATTACTAGAATATCAAAATGGAGACAACTCTCACGTAATACTGTAAGTACCAAATAGTAGGTAAGTGAGCTTGCTAAAGGGGAAAAAACAAACCAAACCACGCTAGGAAGAAAGCCTGCCAGTGCTTGTAGAAATGTGAACAAACTTTTACTTTTTTTCTCCTCCTCATCATGTCACGTCACCTCCACAGGTAACTTTGTACAAGGACTCTGATGGAGAAGACTTTGGGTTCAGTGTCTCGGATGGTTTACTGGAGAAAGGCGTCTATGTTAAAAACATTCGCCCAGCTGGCCCTGGCGATCTGGGAGGGTTAAAACCCTACGACAGGCTTTTACAGGTAGGTTTGTGGCCCCATGCAGGTTTAGCGTGAAGGGCTGTGACATACTTCATTTCACTTTGTAAAAAGGTTTGTGATGACGCTGCAGGGTGTTGTGATGACACTGCAGCTGTGTACACAGGCCTGATGGTAGAACTGTGTAAAGTGTTTACATCACTTATTTGGAACAAGTTATTATCTACATGGCTTATTATATTTTAAATGATGAGCAGTACTGTTCTGTTTCTGCTGGGAAAGGATGTGTGCAGGGGGAGGGGAAGAAGGACAAATGAGGGTCATTGCTCTGTGCCACAGGCCGTGTAAGACACTGAGACCCCTCAGTAAGAAAAGGCAGCGCTTCAAGGTGACTTGGGCTTTTTACACAGTGGCACTAAGGCTGGATTTTTCTGTAAAATCGTATTTAAAGAAACGGATTATTTCAGAATGTTAGATATTTCAGAACTCCAAAGGAGACACTACAAGTGCTCACTGGAAAGCTGGAATGTGCTGAGGCGTTTCCCGAGAGATTTGTAATTTTTGCTGTTCTTGATACAGACTTGAGTATTGTTTCTGTGCTCAATCCGCGTTGTTGATTGGCACAGTTGGAATAATGTGATTCCCACTGAGCACCACAGTGCCAACTTGGAGCATGATGGAAAAACTCATATTTAGTCAACCAGCCTAGTAACATACTTCAGATATTAATAAAAACCAGAGAAGACCTGAACTGACATTTTAGATGCGATCTATTGCATTTAAATTAATGAACACCATGAAAGACAGAATAACGATGTGCTCTTAAATGTCACTTCTGGAGTAGGCATTGTGACAGCTGCCAACAGCTATCACTAGTGTAAATACGATGCTTCCGCTCCGCTCTGTTAAAGGCTGAGTAGAAAAGTTACTGGTGTCTGCAGACCAGACACCACGGTTGGACAGTCTTGTATTGGGTGATTCTCCACCTGGAATATCTAAATCAGGTTCCATAGCCTTAAGGATTAATCTGTTTCTCTTGTGATCTCATGCTGTACTGGGCGCTGGTGAGGCCCCACCTTGAGTGCTGGGTCCAGTTTTGGGCCCCTTACCACAAAAAGACATTGAGGTGCTGGAGCGGGTCCAGAGAAGGGCAATGAAGCTGGTGAGGGGTCTGGAGAGTAAGTCTTATGAGGAGAGGCTGAGGGAGCTGGGGGTGTTCAGTCTGGAGGAGGCTGAGGGGGGACCTTATCACGCTCTATAACTACCTGAAGGGGGGGTGTAGAGAGGTGGGGGTCGGTCTCATCTCCCAAGTCACAGGAGATAGGACAAGAGGAAATGGCCTCAAGTTGTACCAGGGGAGGTTCAGATTGGATATTCGGGAAAATTTTTACACGGAAAGGGTTATTGAACATTGGAATGGGCTGCCCAGGGAAGTGGTTGAGGTACCATCCCTGGAGGTGTTCAAAAGATGGGTTGATGTAGTGCTTAGTGCCATGGTTTAGTGATGGTTTTCATCAGTTTAGGTTGATGGTTGGACTAGATGATCTTAAAGGTCCCTCCCAACCTAGACAGTTCTATGATTCTATGATTCTTTTTTCCTAAAATGGTAACAAAACTCTATCTTCCAATTGTTCAGGTAAACCACGTTCGCACCAGAGACTTTGACTGCTGCCTGGTTGTGCCCCTCATTGCGGAGTCTGGCAATAAGCTGGAGCTGGTGATCAGCAGGAACCCGCTGGCGTCTCAGAAGGGAAGCTCAGAGCAGCAGAGCTCAGGGAGCGGGGAGTGGAGCGACCCGAGTCACGCCTTCCTGCAGCAGAGCGGACACGCCAACGTTAGCGTGGAGACACGGGATCCCACCAACACCTTATAGCAGAACATCCTTCCAGTGGGACATTCGGTAACGAAAAGACAATTATGGTGCTAAACCCCTTTAAGATTTCTCTGAGATTGAGGCTCAGACACTATTATAGCACTAAAAAGCACAGGAGGTCAGTCTTTCTGTCTCAAGGCTTATAGTAATTCATGGTTACTTTGGAAAAACTTTAATTCTTCATTAAGTCAAGTTGTTCCATTCTAAACAATCTAGCATTAGCAACGGTAGAAAAAAATCCTAAGGGCCTTTTTTCCCCCAGAAAAAAAGAAACTGGGGAGATGTTTTAAATATGATTTAAATGTTCCTCTCTTTTCCTCAGCAGCTGCTATTTGAGGGAAAAGCATGGAATTAACCTCTGCTAACAGTGGTGTCCAGGTTACATGGTTACACACTTTTAAAAACATTTTATCCAAAAGGTGTTGTCTGATGGACGAGTGGAACGTTGCACCGGGTTTTCTTGTGAAATGGCTAGATCTGTGATTTTGGGGACCTTTGTTCTGCTGGCAAGAAGGGTGGGCTCTTCAGACAAAGGATGGTTTAACCAAATGGTCGTTGGAAGCTGCAGCAGGCGGTGAACATCACTCCCCCTCTTTGGTAAGTTTTGTTAGAACATCTGTTACTCCCTATGCAACGAAATATCTGCCCCTCTCTCTTGCATCCTGTGGGGATTTTTAAGCAGAGACTTTTTGAATGGGATAAAAACCTCTGAAGGAGGATTACTGACAAGAGTAAAACTGAAATGACTGCAGACAAATTAGAAACATTTTAAAAGAAAATGGCTTTTTATAAACTATGTCAGTAGAAGATTGATACAAAAGCTCTTCAATGATCCATAAACCTGTACTGTCACACATGAGCTTTTTAAGTTAAACAATTTCTTGAAGGGACAGAAGTCCTATTTAATATACTTTGTTTTCAGCCTTCTTTACAATAAAACATTACAAAAACAACATTACCCCCTGCAACAGATTTTTAGAATTTAAAACTGTAAATATATTTTACGAACACATCACAAATTCTCTCCTCTCCCCTCAAGCAATAAAATACTGCCAGTTGCTTTATACGCTCACCAGCAGCTGCTTTGGTTTATTCCGGTATTCAAGTTGTTATTGGTAATTATTGTTATTGGTGAATATAAAGATACTGGATTTGTACATTTGTAGAGTCTCCATATCTAAGCAAATCACCTTAACAGAGTTGTTTCTGGTCAATTGAAACTGTTTCACTGTATCCCTCTTGCTATTTCTGATACATGAACAAGCTCACCTTGCCCCCCACACATGAGTAGCTCTGATTTCTATTTCAGCACTGCCAGAAAAGGTCAGAATGACATTCAAATGCTGAATCATGTATAAAAAAAAAAAAAAGAAAATGTTCATGAGTCACTTAAATATGTATTTTTATTTGTAACAAATAAGTATTAAACTGTAAAGTATTTTTGTACAAATTTAATACTTTAATAGCATGATATTTATCGTCTATGTTATGTTTTTTGAAATTCAAACTGTTGCAAATATTTGTATGGAAAACTGTATAAATTGAAATAAACAGTGATTTAAAGACATTAAAATGAGGTAGCACATTTCTTCCACAGTCTTAGCAAAAAACTACAATGTTTTGATTTGTGGATCCGTGGTACTTTTGGTTTTTTTCACACATATGACAGGAAAAACAAAGTTGAAAGCAAAGAAGCTGCCCAAATTGTAGTACAATTTGTCTGAAGTTTGAATATACATTCATCTTCTTAATCTCAAAAATTAGAATGCGGCAAATCCCACAGTACACAAAGGTAGGAAGTGGAATGTTATTTGAATTTTGCTTTTCTTACCATGATGCAGAGCAGCAACGGGAAGGCCTTACATCCCTTCCAGGTACAAAGTAGGAGAAATTTCCTACAGCTCTGATTGCAACTTTCTTGTTCTATTTATAACAAGATTAAAATCCATAATCCATCAAAGCTTCACGCCTGTAACTCTGACCCAGTGGAAAAATCCGAAGCCCCCTTTGTAAGCTGTTTTGTGACTCGAGGAAACTGCAATTTTGGCACATCAGTAACAGCTTCTCATCGATGCTGTAGCATTAGGAGATGGGTACCTCTCAGTATGGATAGCTAGAACCTTTACATCAAGAAAGCCCATGTATAGGTTTAAGGGAACATCTGGATCTTTTAAGACCTGTAAGTTCATTCTTCACCAAAACAAAAGAACAATGTAATTTTTGATGACCAACACACCAAGAAATCTCCCACTAAAACCAGATCCCTGAAAATATAGAAGGCTCCCTTTAAAACAAGCTGTTCTTCATAGAAGATGCAAATGCAGGAATACCTTTGAATATCAGCTGCGTAGCCAGCTTCTCCCATCCAAAAATCTTGAATGAAACAGGTTCAAGGGAGAGTTGATTGTTTGTTAGCTTTTGAAAAGCTTCCTAGGAGTTGGTTGTCCCAAAGTTAGACTCTTAAGTCTAGAAGACCCAAGCGGGGAATCTTCTACTGTTGTCTGTCAAAATGAAATGGAAAACATTACCAGAGGTTAAACCAGAACAAAAATACAGTAACTGCATCAATAAAAGCTTTTGCCCTATGATAGGAGCTCAGAAATTAGATATAATGAAAAAATCATCTGTTAAGCATCTTTGACTATATAAAAATGTAACTACTTTGATGATAAAATTAAATGTAAGTGTTCACAGCAGTTCCAGCTCCTAAAATTTGTGTTCTGTGCACAAAGCATAAGTTAATATAGGCGAAATTAGCCAACAGCCCACTGCCACATGTAACAAGATGGTTACATTTACTACTACTGACATTATAACTTACTTTTCCCTACTAGTCATACCTTACTCTGGCAAAACAGCTTGACTGCTTCACCAAGTACTGGTCATCTTGAAAATTATTAAATAAGTAATAATAAAACAATCCTAACTATCCAGGCCACTTGTGGTGGTGAAAGAGGGTGCAGGAAGATTGTGTTGTATTTTCTCAGTAAGGAGATACTTACGGGGGGTACTTTCAGAGGATCTTCGGAATTCTCTGCAGGACTCTGTTGTCTTTTAGATGGACTTTGCTGAAAATGGCCTGTCTGCCCTTTACTGGGAGCTGCTGAGCTCTCCTGTTTAAAGACGCCAGTGAGAGGCTGAGGCAGGTCAGGAGCACCTTGAGTTACGGAAACGGAGGGAGTCTCAGCCTCTTGTCTTTGCCAGCTCTTCGTCGGGGGAGGGGAAGCCTGTGTGGGACAGTTGCTCGTTTCTGCGATGGCCTCTCTCAAAAATCTCTGTAAGCGGGTTTTTCTGGGCACCTTCTTGTTGGTGACTGCTCTCCTGAGGTGCACCTCTTCGGCTACGACATAGACACGGCAGCGTCCCCTGGTCACGGCTGTGTACACGTGCTGCCAGTGCTGACGGCCGGGGTTGCCAACCACGTAGACAACAGTTTTTTCCTCAGACCCCTGGAACAGGTTTAAGAACACCTTGTTAAACTAAGATCTCCAGTAAGTAGTTTTTGAAAAAAAAGACAGCTTATAAGAACAAGGAGACAACCAGGGACACTCTCAAGTCTGCAGGAGCTTCTATCCTGCATTCAAGGAATTTTAGTTCCAAGAGAGCTTCTGACTCTTTCACGTGAAAATACAGTGCATGAGCAAGATAAAGCCAGGAGAGTTTTATCAGCTCAGAGCTCCTTCTGTTGGTGGTGGTTTTTGTACCTGAAACGTGTGGATAGTTCTGGCCCACGCGTGCTTTATCTGACACAGCTTCTTCAGTGCCCTGTACCTCACAGTGAAAGTGGAGCCGTCTGTGCCGCTGATGGTCAATAAGCGCCGTTTATCAATTTCCACATCCTACAGAAAGAGAACACTCAGCCATAAGCTCGTATCAGCACTTTGATCAAGGTCTATACATCTGTATGTGTGCCCATATTCCAGCATTCCCTGCAGTTACAACAGCTGCAGTGTCAACCCAGTGAAATGGTTTCAGAAGACACTAAGTCCACAAGAAGGTTATCATCTTTCACTGACCACCTTCAAGGAAACTAGTTTCAGTGTACAGGGCTACCCCAACTCCTTCTGTTCCCTAAGAAAAATGCTGAGGGAGGCAGTTATAACTCCCAGAAAACTTCAATTATCATAAGGTAGAGTGAAATGTACCAGTGAGGCCCTTTAACAATTTGTTGCCACACAAGGAGAAGAGCCTACGCTCTGCCACCAACCCTCACCATCCCCCTTTCCCAAGCACAAATACTGACACTTCCACTGGACCCCCCACTGAGTGACCTCAACGCACTGAATCCAGCAGAAAAATACAGGGGGTTTGTTGCTGTATTTTTTGTTCAGCTTAGTTTTCTGCAAGGGAGAACTCCAGCTGTAACATCAGCTTTGCTCTCTACTTAAAACTGTTTCTACCTCTAACTAAACCATTATGCATTTCAATTACAATACATGTGAGTATTTACAGAATGTATTTACACTGGACAGGAGCAACTGAAACACATTTTATAAAAATACCAAGAGATTCTTTTTTTTTAATTCTCTATTGTGAGTCTGCATCTTTCTTGCTTTTCACGTGATGGTGCAGCAGAAGAACCAAATATGTATTTTGGACTAAAATTTTAAAAGTGTGCGTTGTTTTGTTCTGGGGATTCAACAAGGACTGAAATCAGTTACCACTGTGTGTCTGGGCAAGTTTCTGCAGCAAGAACTTACATCTGTTATGAAAAATATATCTCCGTTGCACAGTCGTTTGTCCTCAGCGGTCTCGGTGGTGAGGGAGGTTTGTCCACTTCTGCATTGGTGGGAGTTCAGACCCTCTCCCAAACCACGGTCTGGCAAGAGATCCTTCAGATACGTGTTCCGCGTGCAGGAGATCTTGTCGTCAATTTGGAATAAAAGACGGTTTTTGTGGTCTCTAGGTCAAAGAAAAAAAAAGGGAGAAATGTATTTACAAAGTCCACATTCACCATCTCTCAGTATTTCTTCTCTTTTTCCAGATTAAAAGCCTTAATAATATTCAAACCAGTTAAGAACACTCACATTTCAAAGGTATTTCTGGAACTTTTGTAAAACATTTTGATAAAAAACAGTAATATGGAGTAGCACCAAAATCCTGCTTCCAAAAACATTTCAGAATCTATTTGGAAATCATACAGTGGCAAAAAAAATTAACCTTGAGTTTTTTTCCAAGCTGCTTTTATGTTAATTTTGTATCTTCAGCAGTAACTCAAAACCTTGGAATTCACATGACAATTTAAATGAAAGGCAAACACTTATTTTATATTATCTCTGTTCACAATCCAGGATGAGATTAAAGAACCCATCAAAGAAAGATTATTGTATAAATTACTTCTGACCTAAATAATCAGATCTAGATGAAATACTAAGCTTTAAAATTTTTATTTTAGGTTGTTGGCCTGGCTGTAACATTTTCAAAAGCCAAGTGAGATTGTTTGCAGGAAAAACTGCAAAAGACAGGCTTACCTGGTTACGTGATTTGAATAGTGTTGGCAACAAAGCTCATTTATTAGATCACAATCTTGCCTAAAACATACAAAACAAGAACATGAACAAAATCCTGATGTGCTTAATGAATACGAAGGATACATCAATGACATGCTATGTCACGTTAACATTTAATTAAAAAAGCAATGGAAAAAGCCTATCTTAGCTATGATGACCTTCCACCAGCAATTAAAAGCAATCGCTGATGCTGAGTTTAGAGGATACAGCATTAAAGGAACAGTTTTGTCCAAATAACATAGCAAGTGAGGCAAGGATGGTTGCGATGCATATCTGGATTTGATTTTAAGAACAGAACTAAAGAAAAACTAAATCCTGGATATATTATTTCCTGTCTGTGGATATATTAAAAATAGAAGATTTATTTACTTCCTGAAGACCTGGAATTTAACTTTTAAATGCAGATTAAGTACCTATAAATATATCCTAGAAGAATCTTATATGGAAATCATTAATAACTGTATTGTACCTGAATGCAGACTGAAGAAAAAAAATTTATTTCAGAGTTACTCAGCAGCCACAACAAACAGGTGCACTAGCTAAAATTTATAAATGCTATTTGCATACTAGTAACCTCTAAACAGTGAATGTTCTTTAATTGCTGAGAAAAGGTTCTTCACAAATAAAAGTAGAAGAGGTTTTCCTTAAGTATCCTTTTGAGCAGAAGTGCAAGTTTATGAACTATTGGTCCTAGTGGACCTTACATTTATCCCTTCACTGTTTCTGTGAGGCCATCCACACTACTTACACCCCTGTGACAGTTCACATTATCAGTGATTACTAAGCTTCATGATCTTCCTACATCCCACCCCTTCCTAAATGTATTGTGCTTCCAAGTATCCACACTGCAGGCCCTTGCCACTGCCCAGCAGGAGCACTAATGCACATCAGATTATGCGTCAAAATGCAAGTATCTTCTGTCATTTGGTCCCTGTCCACCTGTGACAGAAGCATGCAGAGACAGTAGGTCAGGTGTTCCATCCCATACCCTAGAACTCACCTCTGCCACGATGCTGGAACAGAGACATTACTCTGTATTTTGCAGGTTCCCCTTGCAGTCAAGCCCTCACTTTCCTTTCTGAAGGACACTACACTGTCAGCAAACACCAGAGCGCAGGCTCTCAGAGAATCTACTACAAAAACTGGCCACTTATCACAGAATCATAGAACAGTTTGGGTTGGAAGGGACATTAAAGATCATGGAGTTCCAACCCCCTGGACCAGGTTGCTCAAAGCCCCATCCAGCCTGGCCTTGAACACCTCCAGGGATGGGGCATCCACAACTTCTCTGGGCAACCTGTTCCAGTGTCTCACCACCCTCACAGTAAATAATTTCTTTCTAGCATCTAATCTAAATCTCCCCTTTTTCAATTTAAAGCCATTACCCCCCATTATGTCCATCTTTTGTTTCTTTACCATGAACAGTACAGATGAACATGAACACAAAGGCAGAAATCACGGTGCAAATTAACATTAAGCTTACAGACAAACGAAGCAACTCTGGCGACAGGCTGAAGGCAATGAGAAGGCAGAGGAAAAGACGCCTGGCTTGCTCTCTCTAGTAATTTACGGTACTGCCACTAGTGTCTCCAACTCAACACATTCAGCTATTTTTAGATTGTGGCTGCTGGCAAGGATTTTTTCAATGCCTGCCTACGTGCTTCATTACCTTCGGAAAGCAATGAACTGCGACTGTTTGGCATCCTGCAGTCCTGGTCCTCTTTTGAGTAAAGTCCTTATAGCAGTCTGCAAATCTGATTTAGAAGACATAGAAGGTAAGGCATAAAAATATGCAGAACAAACTATTTAAGAAAGAAAAACATAATTCAATATGAAATTGCCTTTGCTCATTTCTTGCTTCAATAACATTTCAACCACCAAAACAAAACAAAAAAAACCACCAAAATGCACTTCTCCCCCACCCCTCCACAAAAACACATACTCCTCAAAAAAAGTATCATGCAGTTATCCCACTGTTAAAATCTGACAAAAAAGAGCAATGTGGAAGGAGACAAATTCTTATTTCTGTGCACACAGCATATTTCATGCAAAATATGGTTTTGATACAACACATTAAAGAGGTATGGAGAGAACATTTTTAAGCCACAGACCTATATATTTAGATTTCACAGAAGAAATCTGTTTTTAGTGTTCCGTTTGCTGAGTAAGTGACTATAGTAAGACAAGGTGATAACGTTAGCACTATTTTTTTTCCCCCACATCCCCCTTGAAGCTTTTTGATGCATATAAAGCAATAGCCAACAAAGGTCAGAAAAAAAAAATAATCAGAAACAATGGCCCAACCCTGACCCTAAAACATTCTGAAAGAAATTCTGGTGTCCCCTCTGCTTTCACTTTCCTAACTTGATTCTAGAGTTTTTGGGGCACATTCCAGCCCCAACGCACCATCCTGTTACAGTTGCTGTTTACTCAACTGATTCACCTCTGGAAATTTTAATCTTTCAAGGTTTAATAGTTCCTGCTACAACATAAAAAGACAGTAACATTTGATTACAGTGGTGGAAGCTGTATTGTCCCGATTTCAAAAACTAAGTGGTGAGCTGGAGCCCTACAACATATCCTTTGCACTGATGGGTCTTGTGGCATGCACTTACAGAAGACAAAAAGTAAACTATGAATCTAGCATTGAAATTTATACCACAAACAAAACCAGACTAAAATCTTCCCCAAACTTTAGTTCCAGCTGAGTAGTCTCTGCTTTACCAAAGGGAAAGTTAAGATCACACACGTACTGTCACAACCCCCACCAGCAGGCAAAGCAATAAGAATGAATTTCTTCTCCGGGCTTGGCATTGTCGTTTCCTCATTCCAATCAGAAACTTTCAGCACCTCATCAAATTCAGGAAGCATCCGGTGAGAGATTCTTGACCAGAGCAGTGGAAGGAAAACAGGAAAGAAAAATTATTTCCAGTTAAAGGATTCCAGTGTACTGTCTGTATCAGCTTGAAGTTCACCATATATAAATCTTTGGTAATCTACACTACATACACCAAAAACTCTTTCTTCTGAGCATAACTTAATTTCACATTTAAGATCTGGTAATTTATTCTCTAAACCCTTCAGCACCGCATAGATACTTAGTATTAGTCATAGAGTTCTTCTCATAGGAGAAGACTGGACTAATAAAGAAGTGTTACCCCCTCAAAAAATGAGAAAGTGTAAAACACTTTGTAGTTCTGGACATCTTGCAAATACTCAGAATATTATCAAATTCCAACCATCAAAAGGTTTTGGATACTCAGACCTAGATTTTGTTGTCTGAGGTTTAAATAAATAAATAATTCGCTGCCAGTGACCAAACAAAATGAAAATGCTGGAAACATTTAGAGGTTCTAGGTATTAATACAGTAAAAAAAATAAAGAAACTATGATTTAACAGCCCTTGACATCTAAACTCTCAATGTAAATCAGCCTGGTTTAACTGCTGTCACACTTACCAGCAAGGTCTTTAAAACTTCCTTTTTGGAGAAGGAATTCTAAGTCATTCCACAAGGCATAAAATGATTTGTGCATGCGCAAGTCATTTGAAAACAACAGAGGGTACTTGATAGTGAAATATGTCCCATTAAGATTCAAGAGTATTCCAGCACACACAATTTTTTGTCCAATATACACCCGAGGAGAAACTGGGGGTGGGGTGGGTTTTTTTGAGGGGGTGGGGTGGTTTTTAAAACCAGTGTTACTGATTTTGAATAAGAAACTGTACCAGAAGCAGCACCACAGAGTCAGATCTGGAAGCACAACTGTTTTGCCAGTAAAGGACCAGGTCTACTACCAGAACGCTTCTGACATACAAAACAGAATCCTACCTTGATGCATTATCTACAATTAGTTGCGATTCAGCTCTGTGATTAGTTCGCAGCTCCACAGAAAAGCCTCTTGATTTCAGACCCTCAAAGATATCAGCTAACATGTTTCCGGGCTCTATGCTCGGTAGCTGCCTAGTATCACCTGAACAGAACACAAAGCAGTATCTGTGAGAATCAATAACAGAATATCTGTTAAAAACTGTCTTGGGAAAAAAACACTGAAACTAATAAATACTCAACCCTCCACACAGTAACATGCTTCCTCAATACAATTCACCTGAAATGTAAACTGTCAATTATCTAAGAAACTTTGGGGAATCAGAATGTAATGCAGTTTAAATTTTTCATATCCCTCACTCGGTAATGCTTTACTAGCAGGTACAAATCACTCTATGCTAAACACTGACAGTGATCACATCTTAGTCAAATGCATTTTGAAAGTTACACATTTAAAAATGAATGCCATAAATGGCATGCCAGAAAGCAAACCTCTGAGCAAGCAGAAAATTCTGATTTTACACTGCTTTGTTTTCCTTCCTGAATGAAAGGATGATCTTAAACATTAAAACATGAAACCTCCCTTCTAACAATCAATCAATAGGCTAACTCTAGCTTCTTTAAGGAAATCGGAAAAGTTTTCCAGTTGCAAGATGTAATGAGCTGCTACACGGAAGTCATCATACTTTCAGAATCAGACAAAACACTGCTAAACAGTGAACAGAGATACTGGTACTTTCATACTGACAGTTGAGATGGAAAACTCTTGAAGAGCACAGTCTACCTCATGTAACCTTACGAATAAGCAGAAATAACCAAGTACAGAACAATGTAACATTCTGGGGTTTTTAAGAGACTCAGTGAGACCAGCGGCAGTTCTTACACTGTATATTGTGTATTATTAAATATCATACAATACTAATTTTTTTTGTTCCACTTACCTAGAATAATAAGTTTGGCAAGCTGAGCGTGCTCACACATGATTTTTAAAACTAAACTAAGAACGTGTACAGACACCAAACTTCCTTCATCCACAATCAGAACCGTCACAGTAGAAAACTTCCACGGCTGCACTTGTTCACTCTGCCTCCACGATTTAAAACTATAGATGATCTAGAAACAAATCAAAATAAATCAGGCTCTGACACTAATCAATTTTCTTAAAAAGGTATCTGCAGTGTATTATCTTCTAATTTTGTATTTAGAGCTATTATCTGAAAATCCAAACTTGGACCTGTAAAGGCTCATAAGACTCAACTGTTCAGTCTTATTTTTCTCCTTCATGAATACATTTCTAGCTGTGATTATCAACACTTACTTACATAAAAGCACAGAAATACATCCTTTTTTTTCCTGCAGGGACCCTAAAGGATATAAGGTCAGCCATCAGGTTGCTCAGTACCAGAACACCTCCTACTACAACTTGCTGACATTAATAAATCCCCAACATTGCATGGGGAAGGGGAACAGGCAACTACCCACTCCCCACAAATAAAATAAGCCCACAGAACTTTTTATGTTATTTTGATTTAAACAGGTTATTCCACAACTACAACATTATCTTGGCACCTTCCGCTACCTAGGACAGAGACCTGATCTAAGTTTCTTAACAAAGAATTTGTTTTCCACTTTTTTCTAGAAAAAAATTGCACCATATTTAACAGCAATTAAGAAAATACTGTGAATGAAATTTATCTCATTGTTCAACCCCAGGCCACTGATCTTTTTCTATCTATGCAGGTGTCAGTATAACTGCTAGGCAACAGGACATTAGAAAATCGCTTGGCCATCTAGAAAGTATTTCCACTCTTCAATAAAAAAAAAAAAAAAAGAAACAAAAAAAAAAAGGTGCTTTTCATGGCAGTCCCTTCCCCCCAGTGGGTGCGATGACTCCCATCGTCGTCTGTCAAGAATTCACCCTCCTTGCAATATGTACATTATGCCAAATGTCTTTCCAGGCAGGGAGCTTACCTGCACTGAGCTGTACCCGGCCTGGGAGGGTGTCCAGGCACACTCTCTGCCAGTGCTGACTCTACACCTGCCTACATGTTCTGCTGACTCACGTTTTTTTCACCTTGCGCACAGAGTCTGCATTATAAACGCCTTCTTGTAGCTCCAATTCCAACAAATGCAATTATGCCGCAAATTAAATGTTGTTTTATTTACATGTAAAATATTTTTAAAGTAAGCAATTATACTACGCACTCTTCAGTCTGCCTGCCAGGGGACAAGCTTACAAGCATAGCCATTCTAGTGCTCAGTATTTTAGTTTGAAATGCCATCTGAAAACTTTTGCCTGTAGGGTTCTGTTATTGTTGTTGTGTTTTGTTGTGGTCCTTTATTTTATAGTGACTTGCAAGCAGATTGAACATCTGTCCTCTTGCCTTTTGCTGTGCCCTGAGTGATTGTGTGTTTTAACAAAGAATAGAGATGTTTTTCCAACTGCTATGAATTAACCGCTTACTTAACCCGCATTCTGTGTTAAAAATTAACCTGTTCATTAATGCTCTAGGCCACAATTATGTCAGGAAGTACAATGAGTTTGAACCATGAAAACCCACAGCCTCGTAGCCAGCTGGGAAGACAAGCCAGCTTCCAGGAGAGAAGTTCTGTAAGGCCACATTACAGTCAAGCTACTCGTAGCAACACATTGCCGTCAGATGTGGGGAGAAAATCCATGGTTCTGAGAAAAATTAAGCAAGAAATGAAAGAAATCATGTCACCAACTCCTGTGGAGTTACACAAGGTCTGTAATTTTTCTTCTGACAGCTTTGAAATAATATATTCAGTATAGGGAATCTAATTATATGGCAATACAGTAAGCACTTTTTATAATGACTCCACAGATGTAATTTGGAGGCCATGCATATTAGTTCTTACAAACACATTAATGATATATCCTTGTGGGGGAAACAAACAAATAAGATGCATCCTTGTCTGCTATTTTATATTACAATAAATCCTCAAAAGGGACTGCTCTTTTGCAAGGAGCATCCAATGGTAATTTGAATTGACAACACCAATAACTCATCTCTGCAAAATGTGTTCATTAAGAAAGCAAAGTTTAATTTCTAGAAAATACATTTCTTTAGGAAATTACTCAGGAGGGTTTGGGGCTCCCATTGGTCCTTTTTCAAATTACCACTCATTTTGAATCAAATACGTGAAGCTCTATGTACATAATATGGAATGTTATTTCAAATTAGCTGTTGCTTCTCTTCTCTTTGTAATTCCTTTGCTCTAAAGAGGATAAATAAACTTCAGTCTGTGCAACTTTTCACTGCTGAAGACTGTAGAAATCACCTGGTGATATGAAGGTGGTTCTGCACCCCAAGGAAGTCCTGGATAAAGTATCTCTAGATACACAGCACAGCAAACACCCTGCAGCGAGGCCATAACAGCAACCAGTTTCCAGAAGTCTGGGGGACGTTATAATGCTGTTCTCCTTGATGGGAATGAGCATCCCATCTCCACCCGTATTCCTCTTAAAGGCCTGAGATCCTCCCAGAGAGGAGGCAGAAGCACAGAGAAGTTTCATTAAGAGGTCACATGTCAGTCTCAAGAGAGTTGGTTTAGTTTCTAGTCCCTGTGGATTTGACTCAGTTTCATTTGTAGTTCATGCAGTTTAGTTCAGTGAGGTGAGGACTTGCTGAGTGTGGGCTAAAGGAATGTTTGCAGAAGGTAGTACAGAGTGGATCTTATATATGGGAAGTTAATCCATTGCCAATGTAAACAATCAATAGAATAGATTGTGCTAGTTTTAAGCTGTTCATATTTCCAGCTTGATGTGAAGTGATTAATGGAGTTAGTTACTGTGCTCAGTTTTCCTGTGTGGCAAGTAAATGTGAGATACAAAACAAAGCTACGCCAGTAGGTGTTTCATGGCGTGCTCACACTGAGCAAAGGCATGCTTTTCTCCTGTGGATTATAAAAGCAGCCTTTCATGATTGATAAAAAAAATCCTTTCCTGGAAAGGAGGAGTCAGATTTCTATTAATGAGTCAGTATTCTATGCTAGCTGTTAGCTCTTAGAGTCCTGGGCAGTAAAAAAATACCCTGTCCTTGAGGTTCTCTTTCTTCAGTTGCCTTTTTTTTTAGATTGCTGTGACCTTCTGTTTTAGAAATTTCCAGTTCTTGTTCAGATAATATACCCTTTTTTCTCCTGTCTGCTGAAGTGATGTTGAGTTTGCTAATACTGTCTCTTCTGTCATCCAGAAAAAGACTCATTTCCTTTCTAAAAATCTAGAAGTTGAACCTGCACCAAGGATTTTCCAAATCCTTATAGTCATTTAAGAAAAATGGAAAGCATTGACTAGATCTTACAGTCTGATTGACCAAAGTGGGCTTGTACCCCTATGATCTCACATGCAGCTTAACCCAAGCATCATGGGCTGCTTTCGTATTCATGCCCATCTTAGCAAGTTCTTACTTGTCAGTTTTCTTACTGGTTCTTGTGCAGTAATGGGCCTGTTACTTTCTCTCTCCTCCTTCATTTTTGTATTAGGCCTCTAGTTTAACACCAATAACCTCTACAGTTGCTATTTCTCATGGACAACTTATCCAATGATAGTTATCCAAAAGAGCTGCAGTGCCACAGGAATTACTTAGCTTCACTATCAGAGAAATGCCTTGATTTGGGGATTTTTCGTAACAGAACTTGCTGGCAAATGTGGTCTGTCCTCTGCAGGCAAGTGTCTTAATCAGCTGGGCCACTGATGGGACAAGCAGTGATGTGTGTTGAACACTGTTTTGGCTAACTGTGATGGTATAAATGGTTGTTGAAATACAAGCTAAGGCATAGCAAGATGATGTGTTTGACTGTGTGCTGCTGAGCTTTCCCAGTTTCTTCAGCAGGACGGGTCAAGGTGCCTATTTATGGCCACGATGCCATGGCCCTGCGTGCCTGTTGAGGCAGGGCCTATGTGCCCTACACATCAGAGTTCATACCTTAAGTTTGATTGCAGAAAATGGGCCACCTAAGGATGACGTTCCACTGGTTTTTCATAATCTGACTGTGAGAGCGAGGATTTGTGGTTCTACCAAAGAAAAAGCCACATGTAAGAATGAAATGCATCAATAGCCAGGCCGACTGTATAGGGTAGGAGAGAATGAGACTGGATAAAAACTGCTGAGGCTACAAACACAAGTTAGTCTGACGGAACAGGATGGTGTGCAGATGACATTAGTGGCTTGTCCTTCTCAGATATACACCTGTCAGAAAGGCAATGCAGCCCTGAGGATTATCTTGCTGAATGCTGCAAATTTTGCAGCAAGTTAACCTGAATTCTTCAGGGCTCTTTCTTATTTCCCTGCATTACACTCGCCAGGCGTGTACTTGAACTGCCCTTGTCCTGAGGAAGCTGCAATTGAGGTAACTGTCATACAAATCTCTTCAAACATTTGTTCTAGATGGTTTAATAAATAACATTCACTTCAACCGGATAGCTTATTGCTATATCAGTGCCCAAATTTAATTAATGCCTTTAATTGATTTTATCTACCTAGGTAAGCACATAGATTAATATTTTTCTAAAAATCATAGCGGACCATTTTTTAAAGTTTCATAGAGCACACATTCCTCTGAGAGCAAAAATATGCACTAGACATCAGATAATTTTTCAATATTATTATCGCAAGTAGTCATTAACCTAAAATTACAGTTGGTTAAAATACCTCAATAGCTGATCTGTGCAAGATGTATGAATTTAAATTAAGCATTTTCCCATAGATTTGAGAGGGAGGAGAGGCATAGAAACAGACTCAAAACTTGTGAGCCTCTGTTTAAAATTTGTAACTATTTAATTGCTTATGAAATATGAATTAAATTTCCAGTTCAGCTTTCTTTTTCCCTTAGGCTCCTGCTGTAAATTTAAAAGTCTAACAAATTGCCCATAATGGAGGTTTTGCTATTGAGATCAAACCTGCCAAAGTGTTGTGATCAGAAGTACAGATAAAACAGCATGATATAGGTGTTGCAGGAATGGCCTGCAGTCTGGGACCCCTCAGACAGGGCTGCCTTACTGGCAAGTGGAGATGCGAAACCTGTGTGCTTTGCCCATACCCATTCTTAAATATAAATTTAAATAAAAATAATTTAAATATAAATTAAATAAAAATCTGAGTACTTCAGATAGCAGGGGGTTTACTTCTGCGATTTCCTTTTAAGAATATATGCTGCCTGAAAAAGAAGTAACCCCAAAATTCCAACCTATAATTGTACAAATACAGAAGAAAGTTCTGTGCAGATGACTTGCACCTAAAAAATGGGACATCTGTCAAATATGCAACAAAGTTAAATCACAACCTCATCTCTTAAAAGAATGAGTTTCTTTAATTTCCAAGCTCCTGTTAAATAAACCAAAAGTCAAGAGAAAACAGCCATAAAGAAAACAGTTTTTTTAAATCTTTTATGATCTGCAGATCTGAAAAACCAGAGAAATGAGAAAATATTTTTATACTTCAAAAGTTCTGATTGCAGGGTAGTGAGTAATTCCCTTCTGGAGTGCTCAGTCCGTGTAAATCAGGGAAGTCCAACCCGAGCAACAGGGTGGGGGGAGGGGCAATAAAAGACATTAGATGATTATTCTTAAGTTCTGCTTCCCCCCGTGCCCCACTGTTGCAGTACTGCCCACTGTCCTGTGAACACAGGCTCTCACTTCCACGGCAAAACTCCTCTTTCATGTCCCTTACCATTTGCAATGCTCCATTTTTTTGACTCACAAGCTGGGCATGAAGTAGCGTGTGGATTCCCTGGGCGTGATTATAGACAAGACAAAAGATAAGGTGAGCTGATGTGGAACGGCACTTCCTTAGGTCTGTAGAACAGAATTTGTATGTATTTTGTTTGCTAATAGGTCACTCGCTAAAAATAGGAAAAAAGCAACACTGTCCTAGACCAGTGTCCAGTGGGACCACCATCTGTAGTACAGGCAGAACTATCCTCCACTCTAGTGTGGCTTGGATAAGATCTAGACTGTAATAGAGTGTCCAGTTTGGGGTCTGAAAATTAAAGAAGGATGTTAACCTCCCGAGGAGAGCCCAGAGAAAAGCAATCCTTGTGTGACATGGCTGCAGAGAAGGGGAGGATGAAGCGATCTGTTCGCTGTGGATGGCAGCAGGGTTAACTCTCCACCAGGGCGATTTAGTTTAGACATGCAGAAAACATCTGAAGCACTGGAAGGGATTGCTTTAATAGACTGTGGAGTCTCCATCACTGGAAATTTTAAAAAGCAGGACAGATAAATGTCTCTCAGAAATGGGTTAGATGCAGTTGATCCTGCCTCGGGGCAAGAATACAGTCTAGGTGACTTCAGAGAGCCCCGTTTCATATGGTTTTGTAGTTCATCTGAGGTTGGATCCAGTTCCACTTAAGTCCAGTGCCTGAAGGAAGAGGAAGGGGAAAAGAAAAAGCTTAAGTGGAAAGGGGGAGTTCCCTTTAAAAATTGTGCCATCTATGCTGGAATAGCACATAGTATTTTAAGTAAGTCTTCTCTTAGGCACCATATCACATTTTTACATTTACTTTTCAAGGCTTCATTAAGAAGCAGTTAACATGATGCTCTCCTATCCTTTGTGACAGTGTGGAAAAAAAGTTACGATCTCATTTGAGGAGAATTTGTGTCTTGGGCCAGTGCTAATTATTTTTCATTCTTGTCAGGAAAGGTAGAAAAATCTGTGAATAAAATTGATCTCCCTCCTTTATTTATTGTTTCAGTCTTGTAGAATTGTGGCACTTTCATAGCAGCTTCAAACATACTTCAGATCAAAGCCATGTTAGACATGCTATGATATCACAAACAAAAGCCTCTGTTGATAACAAATTATTACAAGTTTCCCGAAGTCCTGCTGGTACAGCAGCTGTTGATACAAATTAAAATCAATCTATGATGAATTATTTTGAATTTGCAAATAGGTTTTTCAGTAGCTGAAATGCCCATTGACTCCTAAAATTCATGTGAGGTGGAGGAAGTGTGACATCTCACTTACCTCAGCTGTGGCCCAGGAGAGCTACCAAACTGAGCAGCGAGTCTGGTTTCATTCTAGTTAAAGCCAAGTAGATTCAAGAAAACTGCAGAGAGCAGGGGGGAAAAACCCACAGCCAACTATCTGTGCTCTTTGTTGACGTAGGCATACCACATACCTACAACGCAGGCTGAATCCTTTTCCCTCAAATAACTGAATTCACAAAACTATCTGCGAGGACTTGTTCTCTGAACACCTGAAAAACCTTCTGCTAACAGTTTTATTAACTCCTGTGTCCTGCTTTTGAATGCCTGTCTATGAGACCCCTATGACTCTGTGACTGTCTCTTGGCTATGTGACTGTAAGAACGCTGCCTGCAAGCTCTTGCTGAAGGAGCCTTCATTCATACTCTCTTAAAAGATTGCATTGTAACTCTCATACTGAGCACTTGTGAGATTAGGCCTTTTCCACGGTGGACCATTGCCTGGCCAAAACCGGGTGAGGGTGTATGATGCTGGTGGCATTTATGCCCTAGGGAAGTTTTGGAAGACACGATACTCAGTGGTTAAGGCCAGGTCGTCATCCCTGAAGCAAACCTAAACTTAACCAGATGACCAGCTGGCTGCTTGTACTCAGATGCTGGCAACTAGAGAACAGGGTAGAAAAAAAAAAAAACAACTAAGACTCCAAAAAAATAATGACACCACAAAAGGTGGGATGAAACCCCCAATTTCCCAGCTGGCAAGCAGAAGTGAAAAGGGCTGCTTATTACAGAAGAATAAGGCAGCTTCTGAGAATATTACTAGAATATCAAAATGGAGACAACTCTCACGTAATACTGTAAGTACCAAATAGTAGGTAAGTGAGCTTGCTAAAGGGGAAAAAACAAACCAAACCACGCTAGGAAGAAAGCCTGCCAGTGCTTGTAGAAATGTGAACAAACTTTTACTTTTTTTCTCCTCCTCATCATGTCACGTCACCTCCACAGGTAACTTTGTACAAGGACTCTGATGGAGAAGACTTTGGGTTCAGTGTCTCGGATGGTTTACTGGAGAAAGGCGTCTATGTTAAAAACATTCGCCCAGCTGGCCCTGGCGATCTGGGAGGGTTAAAACCCTACGACAGGCTTTTACAGGTAGGTTTGTGGCCCCGTGCAGGTTTAGCGTGAAGGGCTGTGACATACTTCATTTCACTTTGTAAAAAGGTTTGTGATGACGCTGCAGGGTGTTGTGATGACACTGCAGCTGTGTACACAGGCCTGATGGTAGAACTGTGTAAAGTGTTTACATCACTTATTTGGAACAAGTTATTATCTACATGGCTTATTATATTTTAAATGATGAGCAGTACTGTTCTGTTTCTGCTGGGAAAGGATGTGTGCAGGGGGAGGGGAAGAAGGACAAATGAGGGTCATTGCTCTGTGCCACAGGCCGTGTAAGACACTGAGACCCCTCAGTAAGAAAAGGCAGCGCTTCAAGGTGACTTGGGCTTTTTACACAGTGGCACTAAGGCTGGATTTTTCTGTAAAATCGTATTTAAAGAAACGGATTATTTCAGAATGTTAGATATTTCAGAACTCCAAAGGAGACACTACAAGTGCTCACTGGAAAGCTGGAATGTGCTGAGGCGTTTCCCGAGAGATTTGTAATTTTTGCTGTTCTTGATACAGACTTGAGTATTGTTTCTGTGCTCAATCCGCGTTGTTGATTGGCACAGTTGGAATAATGTGATTCCCACTGAGCACCACAGTGCCAACTTGGAGCATGATGGAAAAACTCATATTTAGTCAACCAGCCTAGTAACATACTTCAGATATTAATAAAAACCAGAGAAGACCTGAACTGACATTTTAGATGCGATCTATTGCATTTAAATTAATGAACACCATGAAAGACAGAATAACGATGTGCTCTTAAATGTCACTTCTGGAGTAGGCATTGTGACAGCTGCCAACAGCTATCACTAGTGTAAATACGATGCTTCCGCTCCGCTCTGTTAAAGGCTGAGTAGAAAAGTTACTGGTGTCTGCAGACCAGACACCACGGTTGGACAGTCTTGTATTGGGTGATTCTCCACCTGGAATATCTAAATCAGGTTCCATAGCCTTAAGGATTAATCTGTTTCTCTTGTGATCTCATGCTGTACTGGGCGCTGGTGAGGCCCCACCTTGAGTGCTGGGTCCAGTTTTGGGCCCCTTACCACAAAAAGACATTGAGGTGCTGGAGCGGGTCCAGAGAAGGGCAATGAAGCTGGTGAGGGGTCTGGAGAGTAAGTCTTATGAGGAGAGGCTGAGGGAGCTGGGGGTGTTCAGTCTGGAGGAGGCTGAGGGGGGACCTTATCACGCTCTATAACTACCTGAAGGGGGGGTGTAGAGAGGTGGGGGTCGGTCTCATCTCCCAAGTCACAGGAGATAGGACAAGAGGAAATGGCCTCAAGTTGTACCAGGGGAGGTTCAGATTGGATATTCGGGAAAATTTTTACACGGAAAGGGTTATTGAACATTGGAATGGGCTGCCCAGGGAAGTGGTTGAGGTACCATCCCTGGAGGTGTTCAAAAGATGGGTTGATGTAGTGCTTAGTGCCATGGTTTAGTGATGGTTTTCATCAGTTTAGGTTGATGGTTGGACTAGATGATCTTAAAGGTCCCTCCCAACCTAGACAGTTCTATGATTCTATGATTCTTTTTTCCTAAAATGGTAACAAAACTCTATCTTCCAATTGTTCAGGTAAACCACGTTCGCACCAGAGACTTTGACTGCTGCCTGGTTGTGCCCCTCATTGCGGAGTCTGGCAATAAGCTGGAGCTGGTGATCAGCAGGAACCCGCTGGCGTCTCAGAAGGGAAGCTCAGAGCAGCAGAGCTCAGGGAGCGGGGAGTGGAGCGACCCGAGTCACGCCTTCCTGCAGCAGAGCGGACACGCCAACGTTAGCGTGGAGACACGGGATCCCACCAACACCTTATAGCAGAACATCCTTCCAGTGGGACATTCGGTAACGAAAAGACAATTATGGTGCTAAACCCCTTTAAGATTTCTCTGAGATTGAGGCTCAGACACTATTATAGCACTAAAAAGCACAGGAGGTCAGTCTTTCTGTCTCAAGGCTTATAGTAATTCATGGTTACTTTGGAAAAACTTTAATTCTTCATTAAGTCAAGTTGTTCCATTCTAAACAATCTAGCATTAGCAACGGTAGAAAAAAATCCTAAGGGCCTTTTTTCCCCCAGAAAAAAAGAAACTGGGGAGATGTTTTAAATATGATTTAAATGTTCCTCTCTTTTCCTCAGCAGCTGCTATTTGAGGGAAAAGCATGGAATTAACCTCTGCTAACAGTGGTGTCCAGGTTACATGGTTACACACTTTTAAAAACATTTTATCCAAAAGGTGTTGTCTGATGGACGAGTGGAACGTTGCACCGGGTTTTCTTGTGAAATGGCTAGATCTGTGATTTTGGGGACCTTTGTTCTGCTGGCAAGAAGGGTGGGCTCTTCAGACAAAGGATGGTTTAACCAAATGGTCGTTGGAAGCTGCAGCAGGCGGTGAACATCACTCCCCCTCTTTGGTAAGTTTTGTTAGAACATCTGTTACTCCCTATGCAACGAAATATCTGCCCCTCTCTCTTGCATCCTGTGGGGATTTTTAAGCAGAGACTTTTTGAATGGGATAAAAACCTCTGAAGGAGGATTACTGACAAGAGTAAAACTGAAATGACTGCAGACAAATTAGAAACATTTTAAAAGAAAATGGCTTTTTATAAACTATGTCAGTAGAAGATTGATACAAAAGCTCTTCAATGATCCATAAACCTGTACTGTCACACATGAGCTTTTTAAGTTAAACAATTTCTTGAAGGGACAGAAGTCCTATTTAATATACTTTGTTTTCAGCCTTCTTTACAATAAAACATTACAAAAACAACATTACCCCCTGCAACAGATTTTTAGAATTTAAAACTGTAAATATATTTTACGAACACATCACAAATTCTCTCCTCTCCCCTCAAGCAATAAAATACTGCCAGTTGCTTTATACGCTCACCAGCAGCTGCTTTGGTTTATTCCGGTATTCAAGTTGTTATTGGTAATTATTGTTATTGGTGAATATAAAGATACTGGATTTGTACATTTGTAGAGTCTCCATATCTAAGCAAATCACCTTAACAGAGTTGTTTCTGGTCAATTGAAACTGTTTCACTGTATCCCTCTTGCTATTTCTGATACATGAACAAGCTCACCTTGCCCCCCACACATGAGTAGCTCTGATTTCTATTTCAGCACTGCCAGAAAAGGTCAGAATGACATTCAAATGCTGAATCATGTATAAAAAAAAAAAAAAGAAAATGTTCATGAGTCACTTAAATATGTATTTTTATTTGTAACAAATAAGTATTAAACTGTAAAGTATTTTTGTACAAATTTAATACTTTAATAGCATGATATTTATCGTCTATGTTATGTTTTTTGAAATTCAAACTGTTGCAAATATTTGTATGGAAAACTGTATAAATTGAAATAAACAGTGATTTAAAGACATTAAAATGAGGTAGCACATTTCTTCCACAGTCTTAGCAAAAAACTACAATGTTTTGATTTGTGGATCCGTGGTACTTTTGGTTTTTTTCACACATATGACAGGAAAAACAAAGTTGAAAGCAAAGAAGCTGCCCAAATTGTAGTACAATTTGTCTGAAGTTTGAATATACATTCATCTTCTTAATCTCAAAAATTAGAATGCGGCAAATCCCACAGTACACAAAGGTAGGAAGTGGAATGTTATTTGAATTTTGCTTTTCTTACCATGATGCAGAGCAGCAACGGGAAGGCCTTACATCCCTTCCAGGTACAAAGTAGGAGAAATTTCCTACAGCTCTGATTGCAACTTTCTTGTTCTATTTATAACAAGATTAAAATCCATAATCCATCAAAGCTTCACGCCTGTAACTCTGACCCAGTGGAAAAATCCGAAGCCCCCTTTGTAAGCTGTTTTGTGACTCGAGGAAACTGCAATTTTGGCACATCAGTAACAGCTTCTCATCGATGCTGTAGCATTAGGAGATGGGTACCTCTCAGTATGGATAGCTAGAACCTTTACATCAAGAAAGCCCATGTATAGGTTTAAGGGAACATCTGGATCTTTTAAGACCTGTAAGTTCATTCTTCACCAAAACAAAAGAACAATGTAATTTTTGATGACCAACACACCAAGAAATCTCCCACTAAAACCAGATCCCTGAAAATATAGAAGGCTCCCTTTAAAACAAGCTGTTCTTCATAGAAGATGCAAATGCAGGAATACCTTTGAATATCAGCTGCGTAGCCAGCTTCTCCCATCCAAAAATCTTGAATGAAACAGGTTCAAGGGAGAGTTGATTGTTTGTTAGCTTTTGAAAAGCTTCCTAGGAGTTGGTTGTCCCAAAGTTAGACTCTTAAGTCTAGAAGACCCAAGCGGGGAATCTTCTACTGTTGTCTGTCAAAATGAAATGGAAAACATTACCAGAGGTTAAACCAGAACAAAAATACAGTAACTGCATCAATAAAAGCTTTTGCCCTATGATAGGAGCTCAGAAATTAGATATAATGAAAAAATCATCTGTTAAGCATCTTTGACTATATAAAAATGTAACTACTTTGATGATAAAATTAAATGTAAGTGTTCACAGCAGTTCCAGCTCCTAAAATTTGTGTTCTGTGCACAAAGCATAAGTTAATATAGGCGAAATTAGCCAACAGCCCACTGCCACATGTAACAAGATGGTTACATTTACTACTACTGACATTATAACTTACTTTTCCCTACTAGTCATACCTTACTCTGGCAAAACAGCTTGACTGCTTCACCAAGTACTGGTCATCTTGAAAATTATTAAATAAGTAATAATAAAACAATCCTAACTATCCAGGCCACTTGTGGTGGTGAAAGAGGGTGCAGGAAGATTGTGTTGTATTTTCTCAGTAAGGAGATACTTACGGGGGGTACTTTCAGAGGATCTTCGGAATTCTCTGCAGGACTCTGTTGTCTTTTAGATGGACTTTGCTGAAAATGGCCTGTCTGCCCTTTACTGGGAGCTGCTGAGCTCTCCTGTTTAAAGACGCCAGTGAGAGGCTGAGGCAGGTCAGGAGCACCTTGAGTTACGGAAACGGAGGGAGTCTCAGCCTCTTGTCTTTGCCAGCTCTTCGTCGGGGGAGGGGAAGCCTGTGTGGGACAGTTGCTCGTTTCTGCGATGGCCTCTCTCAAAAATCTCTGTAAGCGGGTTTTTCTGGGCACCTTCTTGTTGGTGACTGCTCTCCTGAGGTGCACCTCTTCGGCTACGACATAGACACGGCAGCGTCCCCTGGTCACGGCTGTGTACACGTGCTGCCAGTGCTGACGGCCGGGGTTGCCAACCACGTAGACAACAGTTTTTTCCTCAGACCCCTGGAACAGGTTTAAGAACACCTTGTTAAACTAAGATCTCCAGTAAGTAGTTTTTGAAAAAAAAGACAGCTTATAAGAACAAGGAGACAACCAGGGACACTCTCAAGTCTGCAGGAGCTTCTATCCTGCATTCAAGGAATTTTAGTTCCAAGAGAGCTTCTGACTCTTTCACGTGAAAATACAGTGCATGAGCAAGATAAAGCCAGGAGAGTTTTATCAGCTCAGAGCTCCTTCTGTTGGTGGTGGTTTTTGTACCTGAAACGTGTGGATAGTTCTGGCCCACGCGTGCTTTATCTGACACAGCTTCTTCAGTGCCCTGTACCTCACAGTGAAAGTGGAGCCGTCTGTGCCGCTGATGGTCAATAAGCGCCGTTTATCAATTTCCACATCCTACAGAAAGAGAACACTCAGCCATAAGCTCGTATCAGCACTTTGATCAAGGTCTATACATCTGTATGTGTGCCCATATTCCAGCATTCCCTGCAGTTACAACAGCTGCAGTGTCAACCCAGTGAAATGGTTTCAGAAGACACTAAGTCCACAAGAAGGTTATCATCTTTCACTGACCACCTTCAAGGAAACTAGTTTCAGTGTACAGGGCTACCCCAACTCCTTCTGTTCCCTAAGAAAAATGCTGAGGGAGGCAGTTATAACTCCCAGAAAACTTCAATTATCATAAGGTAGAGTGAAATGTACCAGTGAGGCCCTTTAACAATTTGTTGCCACACAAGGAGAAGAGCCTACGCTCTGCCACCAACCCTCACCATCCCCCTTTCCCAAGCACAAATACTGACACTTCCACTGGACCCCCCACTGAGTGACCTCAACGCACTGAATCCAGCAGAAAAATACAGGGGGTTTGTTGCTGTATTTTTTGTTCAGCTTAGTTTTCTGCAAGGGAGAACTCCAGCTGTAACATCAGCTTTGCTCTCTACTTAAAACTGTTTCTACCTCTAACTAAACCATTATGCATTTCAATTACAATACATGTGAGTATTTACAGAATGTATTTACACTGGACAGGAGCAACTGAAACACATTTTATAAAAATACCAAGAGATTCTTTTTTTTTAATTCTCTATTGTGAGTCTGCATCTTTCTTGCTTTTCACGTGATGGTGCAGCAGAAGAACCAAATATGTATTTTGGACTAAAATTTTAAAAGTGTGCGTTGTTTTGTTCTGGGGATTCAACAAGGACTGAAATCAGTTACCACTGTGTGTCTGGGCAAGTTTCTGCAGCAAGAACTTACATCTGTTATGAAAAATATATCTCCGTTGCACAGTCGTTTGTCCTCAGCGGTCTCGGTGGTGAGGGAGGTTTGTCCACTTCTGCATTGGTGGGAGTTCAGACCCTCTCCCAAACCACGGTCTGGCAAGAGATCCTTCAGATACGTGTTCCGCGTGCAGGAGATCTTGTCGTCAATTTGGAATAAAAGACGGTTTTTGTGGTCTCTAGGTCAAAGAAAAAAAAAGGGAGAAATGTATTTACAAAGTCCACATTCACCATCTCTCAGTATTTCTTCTCTTTTTCCAGATTAAAAGCCTTAATAATATTCAAACCAGTTAAGAACACTCACATTTCAAAGGTATTTCTGGAACTTTTGTAAAACATTTTGATAAAAAACAGTAATATGGAGTAGCACCAAAATCCTGCTTCCAAAAACATTTCAGAATCTATTTGGAAATCATACAGTGGCAAAAAAAATTAACCTTGAGTTTTTTTCCAAGCTGCTTTTATGTTAATTTTGTATCTTCAGCAGTAACTCAAAACCTTGGAATTCACATGACAATTTAAATGAAAGGCAAACACTTATTTTATATTATCTCTGTTCACAATCCAGGATGAGATTAAAGAACCCATCAAAGAAAGATTATTGTATAAATTACTTCTGACCTAAATAATCAGATCTAGATGAAATACTAAGCTTTAAAATTTTTATTTTAGGTTGTTGGCCTGGCTGTAACATTTTCAAAAGCCAAGTGAGATTGTTTGCAGGAAAAACTGCAAAAGACAGGCTTACCTGGTTACGTGATTTGAATAGTGTTGGCAACAAAGCTCATTTATTAGATCACAATCTTGCCTAAAACATACAAAACAAGAACATGAACAAAATCCTGATGTGCTTAATGAATACGAAGGATACATCAATGACATGCTATGTCACGTTAACATTTAATTAAAAAAGCAATGGAAAAAGCCTATCTTAGCTATGATGACCTTCCACCAGCAATTAAAAGCAATCGCTGATGCTGAGTTTAGAGGATACAGCATTAAAGGAACAGTTTTGTCCAAATAACATAGCAAGTGAGGCAAGGATGGTTGCGATGCATATCTGGATTTGATTTTAAGAACAGAACTAAAGAAAAACTAAATCCTGGATATATTATTTCCTGTCTGTGGATATATTAAAAATAGAAGATTTATTTACTTCCTGAAGACCTGGAATTTAACTTTTAAATGCAGATTAAGTACCTATAAATATATCCTAGAAGAATCTTATATGGAAATCATTAATAACTGTATTGTACCTGAATGCAGACTGAAGAAAAAAAATTTATTTCAGAGTTACTCAGCAGCCACAACAAACAGGTGCACTAGCTAAAATTTATAAATGCTATTTGCATACTAGTAACCTCTAAACAGTGAATGTTCTTTAATTGCTGAGAAAAGGTTCTTCACAAATAAAAGTAGAAGAGGTTTTCCTTAAGTATCCTTTTGAGCAGAAGTGCAAGTTTATGAACTATTGGTCCTAGTGGACCTTACATTTATCCCTTCACTGTTTCTGTGAGGCCATCCACACTACTTACACCCCTGTGACAGTTCACATTATCAGTGATTACTAAGCTTCATGATCTTCCTTGAATGCATGTTAGAGCCCTACATCCCACCCCTTCCTAAATGTATTGTGCTTCCAAGTATCCACACTGCAGGCCCTTGCCACTGCCCAGCAGGAGCACTAATGCACATCAGATTATGCGTCAAAATGCAAGTATCTTCTGTCATTTGGTCCCTGTCCACCTGTGACAGAAGCATGCAGAGACAGTAGGTCAGGTGTTCCATCCCATACCCTAGAACTCACCTCTGCCACGATGCTGGAACAGAGACATTACTCTGTATTTTGCAGGTTCCCCTTGCAGTCAAGCCCTCACTTTCCTTTCTGAAGGACACTACACTGTCAGCAAACACCAGAGCGCAGGCTCTCAGAGAATCTACTACAAAAACTGGCCACTTATCACAGAATCATAGAACAGTTTGGGTTGGAAGGGACATTAAAGATCATGGAGTTCCAACCCCCTGGACCAGGTTGCTCAAAGCCCCATCCAGCCTGGCCTTGAACACCTCCAGGGATGGGGCATCCACAACTTCTCTGGGCAACCTGTTCCAGTGTCTCACCACCCTCACAGTAAATAATTTCTTTCTAGCATCTAATCTAAATCTCCCCTTTTTCAATTTAAAGCCATTACCCCCCATTATGTCCATCTTTTGTTTCTTTACCATGAACAGTACAGATGAACATGAACACAAAGGCAGAAATCACGGTGCAAATTAACATTAAGCTTACAGACAAACGAAGCAACTCTGGCGACAGGCTGAAGGCAATGAGAAGGCAGAGGAAAAGACGCCTGGCTTGCTCTCTCTAGTAATTTACGGTACTGCCACTAGTGTCTCCAACTCAACACATTCAGCTATTTTTAGATTGTGGCTGCTGGCAAGGATTTTTTCAATGCCTGCCTACGTGCTTCATTACCTTCGGAAAGCAATGAACTGCGACTGTTTGGCATCCTGCAGTCCTGGTCCTCTTTTGAGTAAAGTCCTTATAGCAGTCTGCAAATCTGATTTAGAAGACATAGAAGGTAAGGCATAAAAATATGCAGAACAAACTATTTAAGAAAGAAAAACATAATTCAATATGAAATTGCCTTTGCTCATTTCTTGCTTCAATAACATTTCAACCACCAAAACAAAACAAAAAAAACCACCAAAATGCACTTCTCCCCCACCCCTCCACAAAAACACATACTCCTCAAAAAAAGTATCATGCAGTTATCCCACTGTTAAAATCTGACAAAAAAGAGCAATGTGGAAGGAGACAAATTCTTATTTCTGTGCACACAGCATATTTCATGCAAAATATGGTTTTGATACAACACATTAAAGAGGTATGGAGAGAACATTTTTAAGCCACAGACCTATATATTTAGATTTCACAGAAGAAATCTGTTTTTAGTGTTCCGTTTGCTGAGTAAGTGACTATAGTAAGACAAGGTGATAACGTTAGCACTATTTTTTTTCCCCCACATCCCCCTTGAAGCTTTTTGATGCATATAAAGCAATAGCCAACAAAGGTCAGAAAAAAAAAATAATCAGAAACAATGGCCCAACCCTGACCCTAAAACATTCTGAAAGAAATTCTGGTGTCCCCTCTGCTTTCACTTTCCTAACTTGATTCTAGAGTTTTTGGGGCACATTCCAGCCCCAACGCACCATCCTGTTACAGTTGCTGTTTACTCAACTGATTCACCTCTGGAAATTTTAATCTTTCAAGGTTTAATAGTTCCTGCTACAACATAAAAAGACAGTAACATTTGATTACAGTGGTGGAAGCTGTATTGTCCCGATTTCAAAAACTAAGTGGTGAGCTGGAGCCCTACAACATATCCTTTGCACTGATGGGTCTTGTGGCATGCACTTACAGAAGACAAAAAGTAAACTATGAATCTAGCATTGAAATTTATACCACAAACAAAACCAGACTAAAATCTTCCCCAAACTTTAGTTCCAGCTGAGTAGTCTCTGCTTTACCAAAGGGAAAGTTAAGATCACACACGTACTGTCACAACCCCCACCAGCAGGCAAAGCAATAAGAATGAATTTCTTCTCCGGGCTTGGCATTGTCGTTTCCTCATTCCAATCAGAAACTTTCAGCACCTCATCAAATTCAGGAAGCATCCGGTGAGAGATTCTTGACCAGAGCAGTGGAAGGAAAACAGGAAAGAAAAATTATTTCCAGTTAAAGGATTCCAGTGTACTGTCTGTATCAGCTTGAAGTTCACCATATATAAATCTTTGGTAATCTACACTACATACACCAAAAACTCTTTCTTCTGAGCATAACTTAATTTCACATTTAAGATCTGGTAATTTATTCTCTAAACCCTTCAGCACCGCATAGATACTTAGTATTAGTCATAGAGTTCTTCTCATAGGAGAAGACTGGACTAATAAAGAAGTGTTACCCCCTCAAAAAATGAGAAAGTGTAAAACACTTTGTAGTTCTGGACATCTTGCAAATACTCAGAATATTATCAAATTCCAACCATCAAAAGGTTTTGGATACTCAGACCTAGATTTTGTTGTCTGAGGTTTAAATAAATAAATAATTCGCTGCCAGTGACCAAACAAAATGAAAATGCTGGAAACATTTAGAGGTTCTAGGTATTAATACAGTAAAAAAAATAAAGAAACTATGATTTAACAGCCCTTGACATCTAAACTCTCAATGTAAATCAGCCTGGTTTAACTGCTGTCACACTTACCAGCAAGGTCTTTAAAACTTCCTTTTTGGAGAAGGAATTCTAAGTCATTCCACAAGGCATAAAATGATTTGTGCATGCGCAAGTCATTTGAAAACAACAGAGGGTACTTGATAGTGAAATATGTCCCATTAAGATTCAAGAGTATTCCAGCACACACAATTTTTTGTCCAATATACACCCGAGGAAAAACTGGGGGTGGGGTGGGTTTTTTTGAGGGGGTGGGGTGGTTTTTAAAACCAGTGTTACTGATTTTGAATAAGAAACTGTACCAGAAGCAGCACCACAGAGTCAGATCTGGAAGCACAACTGTTTTGCCAGTAAAGGACCAGGTCTACTACCAGAACGCTTCTGACATACAAAACAGAATCCTACCTTGATGCATTATCTACAATTAGTTGCGATTCAGCTCTGTGATTAGTTCGCAGCTCCACAGAAAAGCCTCTTGATTTCAGACCCTCAAAGATATCAGCTAACATGTTTCCGGGCTCTATGCTCGGTAGCTGCCTAGTATCACCTGAACAGAACACAAAGCAGTATCTGTGAGAATCAATAACAGAATATCTGTTAAAAACTGTCTTGGGAAAAAAACACTGAAACTAATAAATACTCAACCCTCCACACAGTAACATGCTTCCTCAATACAATTCACCTGAAATGAAACTGTCAATTATCTAAGAAACTTTGGGGAATCAGAATGTAATGCAGTTTAAATTTTTCATATCCCTCACTCGGTAATGCTTTACTAGCAGGTACAAATCACTCTATGCTAAACACTGACAGTGATCACATCTTAGTCAAATGCATTTTGAAAGTTACACATTTAAAAATGAATGCCATAAATGGCATGCCAGAAAGCAAACCTCTGAGCAAGCAGAAAATTCTGATTTTACACTGCTTTGTTTTCCTTCCTGAATGAAAGGATGATCTTAAACATTAAAACATGAAACCTCCCTTCTAACAATCAATCAATAGGCTAACTCTAGCTTCTTTAAGGAAATCGGAAAAGTTTTCCAGTTGCAAGATGTAATGAGCTGCTACACGGAAGTCATCATACTTTCAGAATCAGACAAAACACTGCTAAACAGTGAACAGAGATACTGGTACTTTCATACTGACAGTTGAGATGGAAAACTCTTGAAGAGCACAGTCTACCTCATGTAACCTTACGAATAAGCAGAAATAACCAAGTACAGAACAATGTAACATTCTGGGGTTTTTAAGAGACTCAGTGAGACCAGCGGCAGTTCTTACACTGTATATTGTGTATTATTAAATATCATACAATACTAATTTTTTTTGTTCCACTTACCTAGAATAATAAGTTTGGCAAGCTGAGCGTGCTCACACATGATTTTTAAAACTAAACTAAGAACGTGTACAGACACCAAACTTCCTTCATCCACAATCAGAACCGTCACAGTAGAAAACTTCCACGGCTGCACTTGTTCACTCTGCCTCCACGATTTAAAACTATAGATGATCTAGAAACAAATCAAAATAAATCAGGCTCTGACACTAATCAATTTTCTTAAAAAGGTATCTGCAGTGTATTATCTTCTAATTTTGTATTTAGAGCTATTATCTGAAAATCCAAACTTGGACCTGTAAAGGCTCATAAGACTCAACTGTTCAGTCTTATTTTTCTCCTTCATGAATACATTTCTAGCTGTGATTATCAACACTTACTTACATAAAAGCACAGAAATACATCCTTTTTTTTCCTGCAGGGACCCTAAAGGATATAAGGTCAGCCATCAGGTTGCTCAGTACCAGAACACCTCCTACTACAACTTGCTGACATTAATAAATCCCCAACATTGCATGGGGAAGGGGAACAGGCAACTACCCACTCCCCACAAATAAAATAAGCCCACAGAACTTTTTATGTTATTTTGATTTAAACAGGTTATTCCACAACTACAACATTATCTTGGCACCTTCCGCTACCTAGGACAGAGACCTGATCTAAGTTTCTTAACAAAGAATTTGTTTTCCACTTTTTTCTAGAAAAAAATTGCACCATATTTAACAGCAATTAAGAAAATACTGTGAATGAAATTTATCTCATTGTTCAACCCCAGGCCACTGATCTTTTTCTATCTATGCAGGTGTCAGTATAACTGCTAGGCAACAGGACATTAGAAAATCGCTTGGCCATCTAGAAAGTATTTCCACTCTTCAATAAAAAAAAAAAAAAAAGAAACAAAAAAAAAAAAAAAAACTGAGGGAGGTGTAGTAAATTCATTGTTTTGAACCGGGAGAGAAATTTTGAATTGGCTTCTGAAATGAACAGAAATCCAGTCAAAGGGATAATGGATGAGAATGATTCCTATCTCCTCAAACATAAGAGTCTACTCAGACAGG